ATGTTTTTCTCTCATCGATGTTTCTAACTCTCTATCTCTCTCCCTTCCTCTCTGTACAAAATCAATAAAATATATTTTTAAAAATAAATAAATAAATAAATAAATAAATAAATAAATAAATAAATAAATAAATAAATAAATAAATAAATAAATAAATAAATAAAATAAAATAAAATAAAAAACTTAAGGGACTTTTCCAGTTGCCAACCTAAATTTTTTCCCAATTAATACTCCCTTGAGAACATCTAAGACTGTCTATTTCTTATGCCAATGTGGAAAAGGGACATAATGTATCATACTTCATCTGAGCACAAACATGGTCTTTGAGAGAGTAAGTCAGATCGCCCTCACAATAGTTTGTCATATTTCTCTCTAGGTCTTGCTTTCCCAGTGCCCTAACTGTGAACTCAAATTCTTTGCTCTGCTACTGGCACTTACTCCATTCAGCTCACAGTCTCCTATCTCACCTTGATCTTGGCTCTAACTTACCCATTCCTCCCCCTTGTATGATTTATTAACTCACCCCTACTTGCACAAGATGGAGCCAGCCTGCTCAGTTAGACACTGATCAAGTGGAGCAAAATACATCAAAGAGTGGGTTCCCCAGGGACTGGAGCTGGAACTGAGTCAAAGTCCATAGGTTGAAAAGCAGAAGATACCCCGTACAAACATCAGAGACTATATGCAAACACTGGATTTAAGCTTTAAAAAACTCAAACACAGCCAGCTCACTTGTGAGATTATCACCCCTTCTCTGACTTGGACCCAGAAACAAATCTTTATGCATCATAGCTGATTTCAAAGCTCGCATTTTAAAAGGTCCCAAGCAAAGACATTAACATAACTATCCATATATTGGTTAGGATTACATTTGATTGTGAGTAATAGGATTGCTTTCTTGAAACAGTTGCTTCAGTGTGGTGAAAATTTATGTCTTTCCTGAGTAAAAGTGAACAAGTAAGTAAACTAGGGCTGGTATAGTGACTTTGCTCTATGAAGTTCTCAGGGACCCTGACTCCTTGTAGACTTCCACTTGACCATGCCAAGAATAACCCCTTCCTCAAACACCCAATGGAACTTCTATCACATTGATGTTCCAAGGGATAGGTTGGAAGAAGGGAGAAAGAAGGGTCAAAGAGCCTGTAGCAGCTACCTCTGATGAAAGGTCTTGGATGCTGGTGTGAGACTTTCACTTAGATTCCATTGGTCAAAACTCAGTCACATAATCACACCAAGTTGTAAGGGAGGCTGAAAATGTAGTCTTTGTTCTGAGTGGCCATCTTCCTACAGTGTTTCCCAAAGTGTGGTACGCGTACCCCCAAAGGTACTGGAAGAGTTTGGTGGGGGTACGCCGTTGCACCGGAGTTTGGTGGGGATATGCACTGCACTGTGCTTAGCTGCGCCTAATTCTGCATTCTCATGAGTACGAGAAGTACTCAGCGTTACGAAAATTATAGAAGGTGTACACATATGTCAAAAGTTTGGGAAACACTGATTTAGAAGAAAGGGAGAATTGATATTGAGGAGTCATACAGAGGAAGACAGATGTATGAATAAATAAATGGCATTATTCTTATCTTATGGTTATATCTGGTTGAAGTATACAAAAGGAATCTGGGTTAAAGGAAAAAGTTTATCAATGCTATTTGATAAGGAGAGGATGTGGAGGTTTTATAGGCTCCAACTAAGTTTTTGAGGTTGAGTAGTTTTGCCAGGTTCTCTATAAGGAAGGATATTTGAGGTTGCAGGAGCAACTCAGGCATTAAGGAATAAAATATGAGGGTGCCTTCAAAAATATAAAAGCAGTTCCATCTAGCTTGTAGGCACAAGAGAAGTGAGTACAGTGATAAGAAATAAATGGGGAGAAGTAGGCAGGTATAGGAAAATTAATAGCTTGTGTATCCTGCTTAGGAGTTTGGACTTTGGTCATTAATAATGCAGACTAGATCTGAATTATAGAATTACAAATCATATCTGACAATTACTTTGAAGTGTAATTTGAAAGTGGTAATGACTGGATGAAAGCTATAAGGAGGAGAAAGTGTTTGGGAAGTCTCTTAGATGCTTAGTATAGAATTCTATATGATTCTTAGTATGGAGTTCTCCAGTGCAACAGAACCAGTAGTATTGTGAATACTGACAAGTCTGAAGGATGGGGACAGGCCAGCAGGCTGAAAACTCTTGGGAGGAGCTGATGCTGTAGTCTTGAGCTCGAATTTCTTCCTCTTCAGGAAAACCTCAGTTTTGCTCTTGAGGCTTTACAATTGATTTGATGAGGCCCACACAGATTATCAAAGATAATGTTCTTTACTAAAAGTCAACTGATTATAAATATTAATCACATGTACAAATTATCTTCTCAGCAAAATCTAGATTAGTGTTTATTTAAATAGCTGAGTGTTATATTCTCAGGTAAGTTGACACATCAAACTAACCATAGCAGATAGTAACACTATCAACTGTGTGGGTCCTACAGAAGAAACAATGAGAAAAAAAGAATATGTTTGGTTTGGGACATGTTGAGAGTGAGGAACCTATGGTACATCTATGGAGAACTGAAATACTGTTCAGTGTTGAAGAATGTATTCTGAATTAGAACTTTAGAGTGAGTTAGTTCAAATCACAAATAGGATTAGATTATGCAGAGTGAGTATTTGCAAATGCTCTTTCATGTAAATTAATTAAAGAGTTAGGTCAGATATTTAAGGAAATAGGGAGTGGTAAGGACTGTAGCAACTGGAGAGCAGGTGTCCAATCTCTATAACACAACATCAATTTAATCCTAACTAATTATTGGAATTATAAATATTGGTCTAGTGTTGTCAGATCTTTCCATAAATGAAAAGTTCAAGTTTTAAATACTGTTTCTTAAATTAACCTGAAATACTGTTTAGTTAAATTGTACATATCTGGGAACTCTATCTGCTCTATACCCACCCACTTTAAGAACTTTGAAGAAAAGAGAGAATAAAAGACAATGGATGGAACTCTGGGAACCCTGACATTTCTGGGTTAATAAAAGACTATGTAAACTGATTAAAATAAGAACTAAAATGAGGTCTTGAAATATGACCATTAGAAGTTGATTGATGAATCAGTCTGTGCTTTTTTTTAGTAGTATGGTAGAGGCAAAAGGTGGATTATGCATATTGAAGAAAATCGAGTCTATTCTTTCAAGACTTGTCTCATAAATATATATATTTTTAATATAAGTAATTTATTAACTTAGTTTTAACTCTGGAGGACACATTGTACATTTCTCGCTCACTTCATGGTTCTGTGCTTGGGTTGGGGGAATATATGGTTCTATGTTACCAGAACACTTTGATCTTCCTGTTTCCTGGGTCTTAAAGAGTACAAACAAAATATAGCGAATAAACCACGAGTGCAGCTTATTTCTATACATAAGTTATGTCTAAATTTATAGAAAGCAATTACCAAAAATAAAACCTTGCAAAAATTTGTGAACACTGCCCTAAAAAGAGTCACTATAACTTCACATATTCAGCAAAAATAATAAGATTTATACAAAGAACTCAGTCTTCCCAAGAATCTCTTAAACTGCTTCCAGAGAGTAAGTTAATCAAAGGTCAAGGCACTTGAAGTCTTCAGCATCTACACTTACCTACTGATAATTCAGGATTTAATAGGCCCCAATCAAACCTGTATCTTTTTCTATGTTCTGAGACCTGAACCATGAAAAAGTGTCCAATGTAATAGAAATTGTGTTTATTCATGAATTAGGAAGAAGTATGCTTCATGTGGTGTGTGTGTGTGTGTGTGTGTGTGTGTGTGTGTGTGTGTGTACATGAATGAAACACTTTATTTCCTCATGGGTTTATGCCAGTCAGCAGGACTCTGGAAGCTGCTTTCAGGATCCAGGAACAGAGCTGCATTCTTGGTGTCAAATGTGAGATAGCAGCCAGAAGTGATTGCTAATCCCTAAGCAGGAACTCCTCTCAGGAAATACATGTGGAATCTTTAAAGACTGGCCTTAACTAAGGGTGAAGGAAGCTTCAAATATGAATTGAAAGTTAGAGGAACGAAGGGAAGTCTGTTCCCATAGATATCCCCATCCTCTAACTTCAATCTACTTTAAGATTTTTTTAAATTTCTTTATTGATTACAGTGTTACATATGTGTCTTTATTCCCCCATTACTGCCCCACTCTCCACTTCATGCCCTCACCCCACTGTTGTCTGTGTCCATTGGTTAGGCTTATATGTATGCATACAAGTCCTTTAGTTGATCTCTTCCCCTTACCTCCCCCACCTTCCCTCTGAGGTTTAATGGTCTGATCGATGTTTCTCTGTCTCTGGATCTATTTTTGTTCATCAGTTTATGTTGTTCATTATATTCCACAAATAAGTGAGATCATGTGATATTTATCTTTCTCTGACTGGCTTATTTCTCTTAGCATAATGCTTTCCAGTTCCATCCATGCTGTTGCAAATGGTAAAAACTTTTTTTTTTTTTTTTTTTTTTTTTTTTTTTTTTTTTTTTTTTTTACCACAGAGTAGTATTCTATTGTGTAGATGTACCACAATTTTTTAATCCACTCATCTACTGATGGGCACTTAGGTTGTTTCCAAATCTTAGCTATTGTAAATTGTGCTGCTATGAATATAGAGGTGCATACGTCCTTCTAATTGGTGTTTCTAATTTTAATTATAGATGAATATGGGTCAACAGGATTACGATGCAAAATTTTACAAAGGAAATGCAGTCATTCACATTTAAGACTTTATTAGTTGGCTTTTTTTGTTTATACATCTTCAAGATCAGCAGGTTTGAGACAAAGTGAACTTGGTGGGAAAATAAACTGGAAATAAAATAAGGTGGTGGTCATTTTGGAACTAGAGAGCCTTCAGGGAAGAGTGGTCACTTGATCTGCCAGCATGAAGACATCAAACTCCTGGGGAGCAGGGTAGGACGGTCTCTGAATAATGAGAGAGGAAGAAGAGGATAATGAGAACCAAGAAATTGAGATAAAATGGTGGGTATCAAAGACACATTTTATTTACATTCTATTGCCACTGTTGAGTCTCCCTGTTGTTAGCTGATGAAGTGCTTTTCCTGGTGGCAATTTAGCTGGCAGCTTCTGAGGCTGGGGCTGGAGAGGGATGCTGAGAGAGGGGAAAGGGGAGGGTTGATTTTACCCAAAGATGCTGAGATGCTGGGCTGAAATAAAAATGAGGAAAAATCTAATTAAAATAGCTCTAATTAATTAAGAAACCATGGTAGCTGAGAGATGAATAATCAGAGCACAACCTTAGAAATCACTTTGAACATCTTCATCTACTGGACAGAGATTTTTTTTTTTTTTTTTCAAATCTAATTTCTTCATTTGGCTAAACTTAAATTAAAACTGTGTCAGTCCCTTAACTTTGTTACTGGTTATGTGTGTGTGATTGTAGTTGTGTTCGTTCCTGGGTTTTGAATATATTTTCCATAATTCAGATGTCAGGGGAGGAGTTAAAAAAAACACCTAGTGCTCAAGTATCTTCAATATCTTATATTTTCATAGAGATGTACAGTGCTTTAAAAAAAACTAAGCAATAAAGTTTAGAGAAACATTTTACCTTTCAGTCATCACACATCCTCTAAGGAAGGCATTAGTATTCCTATTAATAGCTAAGGAAACTGAGGCTCAGAGAGGTTAAGTAATGTGGCTGCCTAACAACCTCTGAGCCAAAGATCTGGGCACTGCTGTCAGGACACTCTTCTGTTGTGCTTCAGGACCTTCTCAAAACTGCAGGAAAGGGAGAACAACTTCCTTCTCTCCCCTGTTTGTGACTCTGTCTCAGCTATTTATTCACATGAAGCTTTGTTCAGAGGGCATCAGGAGTTGGCATACAATTAGTAGGTAATCTCATTAAGGTGAACACCATACAGAATGCCATAAAGTTTGATTAACATTTTGACTATTGACTTTTGTTTTTTTCCTAAATATATTTTATTGAGTTTTTACAGAGAGGAAGAGAGAGGGATAGAAAACTAGAAACATCAATGAGAGAGAAACATCGATCAGCTGCTTCTTGCACACTCCCTACTGGTGGTGTGCCTGCAATCAAGGTACATGCCCTTGAACTGAATCAAACCTGCGATCTTTCAGTCCACAAGCCGACACTCTATCCACTGAGCCAAACTGGTTTTGGCGTGACTATTGACTTTTAAAAGAGTAAAGTAGAACCTCAGATTCCTGACAAAAACATACCTAGGACTTAGTCCTACCTACCAAGTCTTGTCTTTCCTTTGCTGTGAAAGGAGCAATCTTTATCAGTACCTTATAGGTCTCTGTTTTGTTCTCAAGATGAAGTAAAATTAAATGTAGTAAAGTGTGTCTAAATAGTATAAATAAAAGTGGAAGAATTATGTGTCAGAATGAAAACTCAAAAAGAAGTAGAGTGGCTCAGTGATTGATCATCAACCTATAAAACCCAGGAAGTTGAAATTCAATTCCCAGTCAGGTCACTGGGTTGGATTTCAGGCTTGATCCCCAATAGGAGACATGCAGGAGGCAGACAATCAATGATTCTCTCTCATCATTGATGTTTCTGTTTCTCTCTCCCTCTCCCTTCTTCTCTGAAATCAATAAAAATATTAAAAGAAAAGAACCTATAATATTCCTACATTGTTATTTCTCTAAAGTTTCCCAGTGTATGCTAAATTTTTGCAAAAAGTCAGGAGGTTTAGAAACCACACAGAAAAGCATTCCTTGGAAAGAGGAACTCTTCAATGGTCTAAGATTACAGATCCTTGTATTGGAATGGTATGCAGTTGAGTTTTCCATTCACGGTTCCAGGAAAAAAAATGGGACTTTTCCACCATTAAGATACTGTTATTTAGTTATTTTGAAGTATACAGTACATACATGCTTTTTTCTAAAACCACTAGATTTCACAAGAGGTACACATTTGAGTATTTCAAACCTCTGTTGATTTTAGATCAGACTTGGAGGTCAATTGCAGAAAAAAAATTCATTTGAAGTACAGAACAGAACAGAAACAGAGGCATCCATCATATGGCTCATGAAAATGTTTAAATTTACTATTTACTTCTTGAGAATGGCTCCACATTCATATTTATAATATTAACATGCTGAACTTTCTAGATAAAGTGCAGTAATTACTCTATTCTGACAAAGTTTTCTTAAATCTTGAGAAAAATGAAAGAGAAAAGTGCTTTAAAACCTAAAAAGAATTTCAATTAAAGAAAACATAATTAAAACCTTGCCTTTTAAGTAAGTTTTCTTTTCTGTTTTGCCCTATTAAGTGTGTACCAAGCTATAGCAAGTTGCTTAACTTCTCTAAACCTCATTTTATTTTTCTATAAAATTGGGTAAATGTTAACAGCCAAATCAAAAGCATAGGACTTTTTTGGTTGCAAATAAGAAATATTCAACTCAAAATGGGGAAAGGAAAGAAAAATAATGTATGAGAAGTCCAAAGGTAACTCTACATTAGTGCTGCTGGATCCTCGTTCACCGTCACAAGAACCCAGTCACAGCAGTAAACTGAATGTTTGCTTCGCTCTAAATTCATATATCGATACTAAAACATAATCTCCAATGTGATGATATTTGGAGATTGGGCCTTTGAGAGGTGATTTGGTCATGAAGATGGAGACTTTATGAATGGAATTATTCAGGCTGGGTTCTTTCTTTCTTTCTTTTTTTTTTTTTTTTACCCAACTTTCAAACAGGCTCTCCTCAAAGGGCAAGAAGACCTCCAATAACTCCAGCTCATATCCAACTAGTTTTAGAGAGAAGATCTACTTGTCAACTGTTACAACAATTGACATTGACTGGCAATGACTCCAATTATCATGACTTAGATGTTGTATTTATCTCTGAATCACTCTGTGTGATCAGGCAGATGTGAAGTTTGATTGGCCTGGTCTAGGCCATATGCCCACCCCATAACTGGAAATAGATTTAGTTCCATCCAAACAGTATGAATTTGAGAGTATATTAGGAGTAGTAGTTCCCCATAGAAAATCTGGGTGCTGTTATATGACAAATAAAGAGAATACTCTAGGGTAGTCATAATAATCAAGGGACAGAATACATGAACATAAGACATTAAGCAAACATAAGAGATTTTTTTATTTATTATGCCAAATGTTTTTAACTAGAGTATTTCCTAAGACTATTTTTTTCATTAATGACATTAGACTTTTTTTTTAACTTGAAGCTTCTGAGTTATATATCTCTTGGAGGTCTCTTTCAGGTTACCAAATTCTTCTTTGTAGTTATGATGGCAAATTCTCACAGTGCTGACTGCAGGAGAAAAAAACCACTAAGTATTATCTTCAACATAAGGGTTTGAATTCCTCTAAAAGAACTAAGCAAGCCTTTGGCATCCAAATAAAGAAATGCTTAAAATGAGAAGAAGAGAATAGTATGGTCCTATTTTACAATTTCAAAATTAATGATCATTCTTTGACCAGTACATCTCATCTGCATTGGAACACAAATTTTGACTACTGGTATTGTATATTTGCTATTTGAGCATTTAACTGAAAACTAGCTCTTTGATTTTCAGCTGTTGTACAGACAGGGCAACAATTTTAGTTCCTATTTCTGGGCACATGTGTGGTGTGTATTTACCAGTTTCACTGCATTGGGTTGAGACCTTGTGACTCTGCCTGGTTAATGGAATGTGGGCAGAGGTGATTTAAGCTATTTTGAGGCCTAGCCCTTAAAATATTTTAAGTAATTCTTTAGTCCTATAATATGACACCCTCAGAAATCACATTTCTAAGATTTAGAAGGATGTATAATATTACAGGAACCTGAATCCCTGAGCTAGCAAAAAAATTTCCAAAGGGAAATTTGAAATGTTACAAAACCCATTTTGAAATGTTATAAAAATGAATAAATTTTTATTATGCTAAGTCTCTGGTTTTGAATTGTTTATTATGACTTGCTGCATGCAAAAAGCAAGTATAGAACAAAATAAAATTTTACTAATATTAGCATTCCTTCATTTCTAGACAAATCTACATAGAAGTCTATAAATTAATGAGAGCAGCAATTATTTCAGGCTTCCCTAGACCTTAAAGGAAGTTGTTTCTGTCTTTTCCATTTCAGGATAAAAACAGTTGAAGAAATAACTAAGTAGTTTGAATATTTATTTATTATACAATTACTATATTCCAAGGTTGTGTAAAAAAGCTTACTATTTGCCTATAGGCTCACAAGCACAACATATCCAAATTGCATCCATTATCTCTCCCTAGATGGCTCTCAAACCTCCACCTCAATTCCATACCCCATTGAATGACATTGTCATTTACCCAACTGCCCAGGCTAAAAACTTGAGAATTTTCCTTAATTCCTATTTCTCTCAAAGTAGGCCCTATATTGCTCTTACATAATTCTTTATATATTTCTCTTCATCATCATCATCACTGTTCTAGTAATTACTAAAATTACTTCTTATCCTGATTTGTCCCTTATTCTAAATAAATTCACTTTGAAGCTAGAGTAATAATTTTTTGTTTGTTTTTGTTTTGTTTTTTAAAGGCAGCTCTGAATGTGTCAGCCTCATTATTAAAATCCTTCAGTATCTCCATATTACTCTAAGGAGAGTCCATACCTCAAATTATGGCTTACATGACTATTTATGATCAAGCCCTTGTTTCTCTGTTTTTGTTATAGCATCCTGAACTGACTAAGGTATATGGATAGAATCATCACACCATATCATGACTGCCATTTTATAGTAAGTATTTATAAAGTCTAGACAAGGTGTTGGCAATTTTTTTTATGTAAAAAACTAGATAGTAAATATTTTAAGTTCAGCAGGCCAGATGACCTCTGTTACAACCAAACCTGACCTTATAGCCATAGACAATACAGAAGCAGGTGTGTGTGTGTGTGTGTGTGTGTGTGTGTGTGTGTGTGTGTGTGAGACAGTGTTCCAAAAAACTTGCTGAAACCGGTTTGGCTCAGTGGATAGAGCATCGGCCTGCGGATTGAAGGGTCCTGAGTTCGATTCCGGTCAAGGGCACTTGCTTTGGTTGCAGGCACATCCCCAGTTGAGGGTGCAGGAGGCAGCTGGTCAATGTTTCTCATTGACATTTCTAGCTCTCTATCCCTCTCAATTCCTCTCTGTGTAAAATCAATACAATATATTTAAAAAACAAACAAAATTTCTTTACACAATCAAACAGTA